CAGAAGAACCTTTCACGCCACTTGCACTGTCACTCGGGTATCAGAGTCCATGCCTGCTGGGTTCCCGGGTGTCATCGCAGGTTTGTCCGTCGTGATAACCTCAACTCTCACTATCTGACCCATGGGAAACGTGGAGGTCGAAACCGCTATGTAGTCACTCTAGATGAACATAGCGCCCTTTACAATCCTGCTTTTCGCGGTGCACTGACACCTCATGGCTGGCCGCTCGAAGCTCAGTGATGCGTAAAACTACACTTGAATTCCTGGTGAGCTGCATTTGGAATCTGCAAAGGGCTTTATGGATGAGGCGCATTTGCAACTTGCTGCTGCTATTTCTGTGGAATGGATGACTCATTTCTCAGTTGAGTTTTGCTGGTCTCAATAAGGAGCAGAGTGTGATTTATTGTATGAGTTTGAGCCACGTCAAAATGGAATTTCAGTCTCACAAACTCCGACTTCTGAATACGCCGCAGTTGCTTTGAATGACTTGAATGCAGTCTGCCCCTTGATTTTGGTACACCACAGGCTCCGCTCTTTGTCGGAGATATTCCACAGCCTACTCTTGGGCTGGTAAAGAACATGTCAAAAGTAATTTCAAACGGCCCTTTGAGCTCTATGCGGTTATCTAGATTGTTTACGAATTTTCTTTTTCTAAATAAGCGAGGCGATTATCTATATGCAATGTCTGCAAATCCGTAATAAGGCCTCTTTGATCACTGTTGTGATTTGAAGCTGGTGCAGATTAGGAATCAAGTCGCAACGTTGGAATGAATCCCGAAGTGTCTATACGAAGAAACAAGTTGGTTTCCAAACTCGTTCTTCTCTATATATAGCCACATATTTCACTCTGAACAATAAGAACAATAATCGACTTTCCTCTGAAATACGACAACTACCCGTACTCAAACTCTCCCTGAGGGGAAAAACGGCTCAGTAAAGCGCAGAATTCTATCCCAAGCTCGGTATTTCCCACCCTAGATACAAACCGCTATTTTCAATGGTTGATCCCGTGTGGGCAATCGACGCGGAGAACAGCCAAGATCAGAAAAGTTGGGCTATGTTTAAATCTTCAAATAGATGTTTCTCCATCACACACGCCTCGACCAGCCTGCATGTACTTCTTGAAATGATCACCTTCATAGAATTTCACGAGATCAATCGGTTTCCTTTCTAGGCGACACACGTGAAGAGACCAAAAGCAACTTTGTTGAGTAGCTGAGCCAGTTCGCTCACCAGGGTTGGGCGAATAGGAGTCGCAAAGATAGACAGCATGACCGATAGCTGCTATTGAGTGAAAGTTGAGGTAGACTACGCGGCCCGTTGACACCATCTAGGAAAATAAAAAGGTGGCCCACTGAGAACGTAAACTTTATTCGCTGGCTAAATTGGGAATTACGAATCACTTTTATATTTCTCGTCTCTCAATTAAACAGGGAGTATCGTAAAGGTTGAAATAATTCTGCTCGCTCCACTATCTGATGTACTGTAGTGCATCTTGGGTGAATGAGGAGACACAGGCCTTAGAGAAAGGGCTAAAACGGCCATTCCTCTGTGCCATTGCTCTGTCTCCTTTTTCAATCAGGGTTCGTATCCTCAAGCAACCCAAAGTGGTGAGATCATCAACAATACAGGGTCGTTCAACTTGAGCCAAAACCGAGTACCTTGGATCCACACCCGTGCAGCTCGTGCGTCGAGGTGGGGCCACCACATTTGCTTTGGTGTCTCGACGTTGAGTGAACGACTGTGAATGTTCAGCGGGGTAAAAAATTCAGAATTGTTAGTTGTGGGTGACTGAAAAATTCTCTCCATACATTGAAAGGCCAGGGGGAGAGTGCTGGTGTATAGACTACAGGAAATGACGGAGGAGAACAAACAATGGCCCGCGGGATTTGAAAGCTCTATTTCCATGCTATGGGGAATGTCCCTCCTCACTTATCTATGATGTTGATATACAATGATTGCTGGAACCTGTATCCTACGGAAGCAAGAATGTGATTGACGAAGAACCGTCTCTGGTAAGTCGCGTCCTCAATCTATCCTCCCCTATTTATAAGGCTAGCTACTGCATACAGTCCCCGACATTTTTATCGAATTACAAAGTCCCGTCATCCAAAGCAATCACGATTTAGAGACTACCTCTTTTCCAACTTTCCAATTGCCCGACAGCTACCATGGGTAGAGTTTTGAGCGCATTCACAAGAGTTCGGGAACGGCGCCGCACCAAACAGTTCAAACTGAACCATGTACCCTTGTGCACACCGCAGTCGTCCCTTGACAAGAGGATTTTCTTTCCCAACTGGCAGCCAAAATCAGAATGCAAGCCCCGTTGAGGTGTCGACTTTGTTGGTAACGCTTGTTGGATTTTCACGAGCCCAGACGACCCAACCCTCCGTCTTGACGAGATGCAATTGAAGCTTTACCGAAATCTCTCTTTCCAGCCGGTATTCGAGAATGGCGGAATCGTTTACAAGCGCGTCAACGACCCTCCGCTGACGTGCATTACGAGTCCAATTGCTTTGGAGAACGCAAAGCCGTATTGCGCGGGGACATATTGATAGTGGAGACCAAAAACTGGCGCTGTGCCAATCCACTATGTCTGCAATGCTCTATCTTCTCTTTCAAAATCTCGCTAAAGGACATTCTCGATTTACTAGAATATTGGTGCGTTGAGATTTAGCTGAAAAGTACATGGACGAATTTGAACACTGGCGAGGGCTTCTGCTAGACTGATAGTTGATGGACTAGGAAGATGCCAACACATGTACTTTAGGGCTCTAGTCGAGAATTGATTCATTTATCCTTGTGCAGCGAGAATAGACGCGACTCATACTCGCATGGTCCTTGCGTATTCAAGAGACATTAAATTAGAATGGGATGCCCCGGGAATCAGCTCAGATGATTTTGCAGTGAATCTGCTTTCCGGTTTTAGACTATTTGCTTTGGTAGTATTGTCTCGGATTGATATTCTGATGACTGATGCTTCGAGCCATAGCCCTCAGCTAGCCCCGGAAACGCGAATTAAATGTACCGATGATTGTCTCACATATGTAATTCGCGCTGAATTCGAAGTCCTGGTTGGAGCATCCCCAGTCAAGGTAGAGCAAATGATATGAGGCAGGTAATGACTCAGGCTTATTCTTAGAACGATCACTCATGTTTGCTCACCAGGACCGATCACTCACCGAGCATGAGGTTTACCGCAACGCCTACACGCCACGGCTGGGTCTTTTGGCGACAAAGCAAAATTGACGAGCCCTTGGTGTATTCAAACACACATTGAGACTGCTGGAATTTGACCGGCGCAGCTTAAAGCCGGCCGGATGGCGACTCTCAGGATCTTCGAGGATCATCTTTATCAACCCCCCCCATTGCCACTCCATGACACCCTTCATGTCTCCCAGTCGAGAGAGCTTTCCTCCCCCCGCCTCTAGGAAGAAAGGCTCGGAATACTTCACCTCGATCACTGATGGAATTGCCAAGAGGATCAGTGGTCGCTTCATTCGAGTCGAAGATAATGCCCCTACCGCAGCCATCAGCACCTCGCCATTCGTATATTGGAAAACGCAGGAGCTACTGTGGAAATGGGACCAACGGAAACTCTGCGGTGCGCGAATGAACATGGTGCTCAACTCGTCGCTGCTCCCGCACGGCCAAGCATGGAATGTTCCTGACACGGATAACATCTTCGTCTCCGTCGGACCACTGGGCGTGATTGTTCACGAGCCTGCACATCTTAGAAATCTTGACTGGTCTGAATGTGCGATCGGCATTTCTCAAGACGAGAAAGGATCTGGTGCTAGAATCATTCTGCAGGGCCGCACTAAGAGAGAATTAGGCAAAAGCCTAAGCAAGCTCCTCGTCCGTTTCAAAGACCCGATTCTCCCTCAGCCTCTGCTTCCACCCATTTCTTGGTCAAGCGAATTCTGGATGTCAGATTCCGTGGTACTCGATCCACGTTTGGATGAGGGGGAGCTGATTATTGAAGGTCTTCAACTAAATGTCAGTGGCTCGGAAGAATATCTTTATATCGGACTTCCGGGGACGGATTTCGGCGCTCTGTTCAACACACTCATCACTTCATGGGGCACTAGCGAGGACTGCTTTAAGTATTCCTGTGGGTACTTCTGGCTACTTGCATCCATCGGCTCTGTTCACTTGGCCCCAGAAGTCCACGGCTCCTCTTTTCTATTAGAAAGGTATGCGCTCTCCTTTCGCGAGCAGATGAAAGGAGAATCTTGGCTTGTTGCAGCCAAAATTACGCTCAAGCTGCAGAGGCCATCACGTCTCAAGTCGAGGCTCCAGGTCCAGGTTCACGCCATCTCGTCTGGCTGTGTGACCTCAACTCGACGACCTGCCGGCTTTCAATGAGATTTATCTTGTATATAGCGGTTATGTCATCAACACGATGGGCTTTTGAAACTATCGATTCAAACTTTCAAATATTTACTTCCAACTGATGAAAAGATTCCAGAGGGCAGAATTGGGGAGAGGGCTTCTGTTCCGGCTATACTTGTCTTCTGAAGTAAAGAAGTCAAATTAGACGATTCAACGTGGAGCTTGGGAGTCTCTCGGGGGGTGAGGTGGGAGAGCCTCTTACGTGCCTGGAAAATAAAAGCTATTTTGTGGAAACTCTTGCTTCATTCAACACTATCTATCCAAATGTAATCTTTCATTTGCTGAAAACATCTCAAAGAACCAATTTCCCTTCTGCACCGAGTCGATGAGCATAGTCCCAGATCCACGACAAGTTTCTCGCATAATCAAGCTGGGCAGAACCTGACGGCACTACCTCGAGACCTACCAATTGATCAGCTTGATATGTAGTAGAAACATTAGGTGATATCTTACCGGTCGATGATCTCTTGGTTCCTGTAGAATCACTGCGGTCTGATGGTCCCGTGGAAACATTTTGGAGCCATCTTCTGATTCGGCGCTTGAGCGGATTTTTTCCCCTCCCTTTCGCATGGAGTTTGCGATGTTCACACGTTGTAGGTCGCCGTTTATTTTTCATCGGTGTATGACCAGCATCGCTGCGTTTTCGAAGGATGTGGTACCTTTTCCCTCTCAGAGACTCGGCGCTTCTTCTTATTTGATATTGCTGCCAGTAGGCGTGAGACAGAGCGTTCCAGGTCAAGTCTCTGTTTGATTCCAACCAAGGTAACAGGTTTTCTTCCTCCCATGTTGACCAACCAACCGTACTATGGGGAGCCATTGCTCAACTGAGCAGCAGACCTCAGGAAAATGTGGCGGCTGCAGTTCAACTGTGAATTATTCTGGCTGAGAATCCTGTGCAGGAGGAGTTACATGTTTATGAAGTTTACAGTGAAAAGAAAGTCTGTCAAATATCGTCTCAAATGGCTAGGGTGCTGAGCGTAATCTTTCACCACTGACAAGGTTCGAAAAGATCCATGGTTGGGCTCTTGCAGCGTCTTGGAAAGGAAAGAAAAGAAAACAAAAACTGGTGGGCAGAAATTGAGCTGTTGAAAATCACTTAACCTGTTGAGCAAACGGAGAGGTAGCGTTTACTAAACGCTCAGTAGAGTCAATGTTCAATGTAAGAAATATAGTTTGACAATAGCCCGGTCTCAGGGATGGAAATTGAGACTGCATACTGCGAGGTTATCTACCTACGACTTGAAATCGGTCGACTAGTAGATATACTAAAGCGAGAGTGGGATATTCTCGGCCGGCAGCTTCAGGTCTCGCCAATGTTGTAAAGTTTCCAAAAGATGGGCGTTGCCGAGTCCTCATAAGCTCACTGACAAGACAGTTGGCCTATGTCTAGACTTCAAAAAAGAATGGCATCCGGGGGACGTCTCCTCTGTCTGAAGAACAATATTCCTTGGCCCTGCGTTCATTAAATGACGATGGATGCACAGGGGCTGCCACAACTGCCCTAAGGATATTTGAAGGCAAACGAGGTAATCGTACTATTACATATCGAGCATCACTCAGTCAAGTATATAAGGGGTTTGCCTGGGGAACCTACTTAAGTAGTTTCTACGGCTGTATACGGTGATAGGGAAGAATAAATCTAGCTTTGCCAATATGTCTCTCTTTGCTAGCTTTGTAAGATCTGCGGCTCACCTACACGCGCGACGTATGTTCTTGGAGCATTGCCGGGTAAAGCGCCAGTTCTGGCCACCGAATCCCATTATTTTCGGTAGCAACGCTCTCCGCATAATGAACTTTTTTTAAAAAAAAATTTGCAACCGGTTTTCGCAATTTTTCAACCAATGTGGCATGGCTACACTCAGTGGAAGCATTTTCGCTGTGGCCAGACCCCATTCGATCGCAGTCAAATGCGAGTTTAGCAGAAAAAACCTCCCAGGAAGCACTTAGTGAATAACAGTGCCATTAGCTAAATCAGAGGCACCCTTCTTTCGACTGCCCCTTGAGTTCGCTCAGCGTCTACGTCGCCAATTTCCCAGATGAGATGACATGTTCAGCAAATTGCCCAGAAGCAGCTTTGATATGCATAGTTCACGGGTCATGCGGCTCAAACCACTGCCATAGCTTGAATGCGGTTTCGTGGAGTGGTCTTGCGGGAGTCGGTCTTGTGGGAGTCGGTCTTGTGGGAGTCGATCAGGGGTTGGGCGAAAATCAGATGGCTCTGCTGGGGATATCTCCATGAAAATTGCAATCGGTTACAGCTGCCATATCAGACAAAAAAAAAGAGAGGTCCGGAGCAATCATGATGTGACCAGATCTCCGAGGTTGTGTTGGGTTGGCATTTGGAGTTCGGGCAGAGCCACAACAAAGCGTGGCCTAGATTGCCTACTGGGCGTCACGAAAGCGAGTCAAGAATGAGACAAGGTCGAACGCGAAGAGTTATGAGCGCGATCTCCTTTGACTGGGAATTACTGACTCATTCGCAAAGGTCATTGTCATATGCGGACAACTCGGCGGGACATGGCGCAGATAAGACCGGTTACCTCACCGCCTTTGCGTCGCGTCCAATAGCCTCCCCTTGCTGAGCACTGATGGACGTGCGAAACCAATGCCAGCTTTCTTCGCTTTGAAGACAGCACACTGTGTTTTCATCCATGAGGGTGTGAGCGCCGACACTTTTTCACATCTTTGCTCACGACAAGTAGCTCACCTGGCGAATTTACATTGCAGCCATCCATCCATTCCTCCGTTGCGATGCCATGCATATCTATCCAGCGGATGCAGTTCCCAAATCGACACAAATTTGTGATTGATATGAGACGTAACCCGCCATTTCGAGAGAAGTTGAACGCAGCAAAACACCTCACACAATGAGAATTTTGATAGACAACCCCTCTGATGGGTCCATTGGATATGACTGCCAAGGGGCACATGAATTGCGCCCGCTGGCACTTGATGTCTCGCAAGTGGAGGGATCATGTCTAAATGTGACTTCCATGAAGCCCCATATCTGGCAATCCATACAGTGCAAATGCGAACTCGGTAACGCTGATCCGACCATCAGTACAAGTCATCTGGGTTGCCATCGATTGAGATCGGCTGGTAAGGTTTGAAGCGACTTCTCAATTCACCAAAAATCCCGAAGCATCACTGTTCGGTCAGATCAGTCTTTCTGACGTCCGGGAGATCTATGGAAGATGCTCCATACTATACTACTCCATGTTATACTATTCCAAACTGCGCCGTCTCTCACGGTATCGATTAAATTTCGGTTCTACTAGTGCCGTTCTAAGTGCATTAGATATCTCCACATTCTTGTCGGTTACTGACCCAAATCGGTGCATCTTCATTCAGAACATCCGGCCTCAATTCTGCTGAAGACAAATTGTTTTGAGCTTCCAAAGACTCACCCCTCTTCTTGACAAATAGAAAAAATGGAGAGAATTTGGTACTCTATGGTATCAATTTCACTCGAAAAGTCGCTCTGAGTAGTTGTGGGAATTCGAGCAGAGAGGTGGTGATCGTGCAAGGCTAACAATTCCAATTGCCAATGGCAGAACAAAGACCACTCCTGTACCATGGTGCTTGAGCTTGAGCTCAGTTACTTATCGTCCTGGCATATGAATGAATGCTGCGCCAGGTATCGGAGATGCAAGCCTCGTAATGTCTGGGGTTGCATCATCCTCTCGGGTCCCGCGACATCTTTGTGTCGCCCTGTGTGTCCATCTCCATGGCTGCATAGGACTCTATGGTTGCTCACTCCAGGCCCTCACCCGCGTGAAATCAAATTTAGAATGGCGATCACGGCATGTTGTACAGGTTTTATGATAAAAACAATGCGGGACACCGCGATCATTCAGCCGCATTATGCCATCCGACCAACGATTATGGACTGGGATTTGAATTTTCCCGCTATAGAAGTCAATAGTACTCGCTAGGTACAGTACAGGGACATTGCTAGCAGCTGTTTGATTCGCGAATTGTACGTTTTGCTGAAACTGGACTACTTCGACATAGAAGGAAGTGGTAGATCACCCGATTGCAAGCATAGAAAGCCGTCTCGTCGTTGGGAACTTATATTCAAAGACAGCAAATGACCGACTCGACCACATTAAGAAAATCGGCTGAATATCGTCTAGATACTCCAGTATAGGGAAGAACTTGAATATAAATTTTAGTCCTTCCGGCGTACCAAGAGAGATAATGCCTTTAGATACGCCAAAAACCCGGGGATGGGAGACGGTACGGCAGGACGGGGTTAGAGCATCTTCACTCCAGGGTCGACTCAATCGCCCAACGGGAGTGCTTGGACTATGTAAATTTATAAAAGTGATGCTTCAATGTTCATGTTATTGAGGCGAGTCGGTTTCATGTTGTGTGTTGTTTATATACAGCACACAACCGGTTTTCTTCGATAACATGAATATTGACGCCTCTTATAAATCACCAACAACCTATAGCTACAGTCGTCCGCCCATCGTGTTGCTTTACGAAGTGATGCTTCAATGTTCATATTAGTTGGGAGTTGGTTGTGTATTACCTTAGTGAGATACAGATAGGCTGGTAGACAGGTATAAGTATATGTAGACACGTGATCATGGCCTCCGTGATATTCAACACATCGGACTATTTGCTGACAAGCATGTGGCTTAAACGCGGTTGATAGTTGGGTGGGTGTGGCCCGGGTGAGCACAGGGTGAGCGCCGCTTTAGCGTCGCGCGACCGGGGTGACACAGGGTGAGTGCGCAATAGACAGAGTGAGAGGCCGGGTGAGAGCGGGTGATTATCACCCCGTGTCGTGCGACCTCGCACTGACCCTTTCAGCTGAGCAGGGGCAGAATATAATTGGACCACGTGCTTCTCCCTGAAACAATAGACTTCCTAATATCTGCACTTCGCCACAATTCGAAGCGCTTTACCATATCTAGATTGTTTAGCAAAGTAATTTTCTCCAGCGATCAATATGTTTATGATATTGTGATCTTACAAACATACTGTCCTTCCAACTGCTGCGAATCAAGTTATCTATCTGTGGTGCACTGCTACCCAGGTCTACATGTCGAAAGGGGGACCCTTTCTTTAAGAGGCCAAACTAAGTCGGAACAGGTACTATCGAGATATGTACTCTAGGGAGTGGCCAATGCTCGCCTACCCACTGTGACCCAGCACATATTCTGAGATATGCGGAAGCCGTCCAATGAGGAACAGAGCCTACGCGCCAGATGGTGAAGGCTGGCCCCCCTCTGACGATTACCCCCTCTTTCCCTTCTCTTTGATCCTAGAAGAAACGGTTGCCTTCTTACATTTTCCCAGGCAATTATGGGCGCCAGCGAGAGTGTTGTCGTGGGTGCTTTAGAAGAAATCCAAGCAAATATATCTCAAAGTAGCCCCGAAATCAGCGAAGAGATCACTGAAAAATGCCGAGCGTTATGGTCGAGTCTTCCTTCGGAATCAAAGACAAAGATCGGGTTGTGTGCGTGTTCTAGGAGATCTGATCACAATCCAAAGAAGCAGGATATAATTGTTCCTGAAATCTTGACCTCCGCTATTGGACAGTGGATCGAGCAGCCGCATATGTTTTTCCACAAAAGTGGCAGTCGGCTTGATCTACACGTGTCGAAATCTCCAACCAAAGATATTCAACGCTACGCCGAGCAACTTGGGGCCGAAGAAAACGGTGTGCTAGATATATTTCGTGAGCGGTTTGTCAAAATCATTTTGATGAAACTGAAAGATATTGGACAAATAGCTGAAGAGATATCCACCACTGTGGCACATGGTGGTAAGATTGATCTCGCACAATACATTTGTGAGGGACGTCGACTATACGGGCTCTGTCGTGACATCGGGAAACGCCAGGAAAACCTCAATCATGCTGAGCTGGGGAACCTGTTTGCGTTGCCCCAATATGCCTCTACAGAATTGTGAGTTTTATCTCGAATCCACTTTCCATATGATAAGAACGTGACCATGGAATAGCATTAGAAGAATCCCGCAGCGGAGCGACAAACGTCAATCATACATTGAAGATATAAAACGGTGTGGCGCCCTGGAATTGGAGAAAAGAGCTGACTTGGAAAAGCTTGCCAATGCTATTATGGTCACAATGTGGGAGCCAATAGAGCAAAGGCTGGCTCCATCCTGTACAGTCTTGCGGATGCAAGATCCGAGATGCAACAAGCCGCAGAACAAGAGGACGAGCAAATCTGGCTCGTGCCGGAAAGTTTCACGAATTCGAAAAACCAAACCGCCCGAGAAGCAAAGAAACCCCAATTTTGCGTCACAAATCAACCCTGCTAGTGATTTTCATGAATCTCCGGATCAAATATTCCCCGGAATTATTATGCAAGAGAATTCTCAACATACTGAGAGCCAAATGGAACTCAGTATAGCACACGAGGAACTTCAGGCTACGCAGGAGATTTTCACATATGAGAATCCTTTGCCCGTCAACAGAACACAAGATTTGCAGCTACCCCGTGATGCTTCCCGAAATGTTTCCCGATCAGACATCTGCTATGACCCGAGACCCCAGCACTCACACACTTCTTACGAGTATCGAGGAAATATGGTATCGAGTGAAAAGGACCAACCCCAGACTTCGCGTGAGATGGTGTCTGATGGGCTTACCAGCCTTGATTCGACCTTTCATGAGTCCACAGGCTTCTCCTCGAATGCCCACGGCCAGGCTGTCGAACCATCTTTAGCCCTTGGGAATATGGCGTCCCCTGAATTCGATGAGCTCATTCGTCTTAACATGCACCAGGGCGGCGTCCCAGTGCCAGATGTATTCCTGGATTTCCACAACCCTACGGGCTTCTCGAATGCCCACGGCCAGGCTGTCGAACCATCTCTAGCCCTTGGGAATATGGCGTCCCCTGAATTCGATGAGCTCATTCGTCTCAACATGCACCAGGGCGGCGTCCCAGTGCCAGATGTAACACTGGGTTTCCACAATCCTACGGGCTTCTCGAATACCCACGGCCAGGCTGTCGAACCATCTTTAGCCCTTGGGAATATGGCGTCCCCTGAATTCGATGAGCTCATTCGTCTTAACATGCACCAGGGCGGCGTCCCAGTGCCAGATGTAACACTGGGTTTCCACAATCCTACGGGCTTCTCGAATACCCACGGCCAGGCTGTCGAACCATCTCTAGCTCCTGGGAATATGCCGTCCCCTGAACTCGATGAGCTCATTCGTCTTAACATGCACCAGAGCGGCGCCCTAGTGCAAGATACATCGGTGCGCTTTCACAATCCGACGAACATTGCTTTCCCCATTCCCCATAGCCAAACAATTGAAAACCCCAGCCCATCAACCGAGCCGATTATATGTAGCGCCTAATGACCGTTTTGGTATGCTTGGACCTTACAAAAATTTCGCATTCAAGTCGATCTCAGAGCGGCTAGGATGCCATGTGGGATAGACATGAAGTTAAGCTATCTTGTGCAAATATCAAAAAGCAAGCTTCCTGTATGAAGTAGCATAAGAGGTATAAATATAATGTCCGTATAATTCTATGTATCCGCAAGTCAAACCATTGCTATGCATTGTAATTCGAAAAGGAAGCTAAATCCTTTACTTCGGAACAATCAGGATCGCGGCAGCCCCTGAACTCAAAATGGGTTCATTCGTGAGATAAACGTAAAAACCGGCATATAATGTTCCTCCCGGGGATATGAGAATTTTCTCTGATAAAGGTAGAAGATAGCCTTGTTTTCGGTCATTGAGTAGCTCCAATCGCTTCGACCAATATATGAGGCGCCATTTCCAGCCCTAGTCAGGGAGGTTAGTTTTTTTTCCCACCAGAAATTCTTGATTAAGCATACAGTGCCAATTTCCATCTTAGAAATGAGCTGATGAATTTGTCCGGCTAATCGGTCTCCGCCATATGTCTTCGTCCCATTATCATCTTCTTCAAGAAGCGTAGCCAAGGTGTCGGTTGGTTGATCTGATAGAGTGGTGGTCTCAGGAATCATATCCACAATCCCTCGACGGACATCCTCGGCTGGTTGTGGTAGCGGTTTGAACTCCATGAGGCTGGATTCATAATTAAAAGATTAGCGGGGCAAGAGCCATAGTATTCTGGGATGATAAAGTCTTACATGGACAAGATAGCACAGGTATATCTTGATATTCAATGCTCGCAAGGAAGGAGCGGGGTAAATCGAATCTGTCACATGTTGGGTCGGTATATCACGTGATGACGACAGTCATCCATAGTTAGCGTTCATTAGTCATCACCGTGAATAAATAACTAACTAGTGAGGGGAGCATCGCTAAATGACATCTGCTGCCACGGGATAGCTATCTGCTGATCAATATCAAACAATTCTGTCATGAAAAAGACATGCTAATTGTGTCCCGGGGAAATCAGACCTTGCAGTAGACCGTAAAATGCATAAGACCACAAAGGTGGCCAGAGCTTATTCAGGTTAGGGAATAAGGTCGCACTATTTGAAAGAGCACATCCCCACCACATTTGCTCGAGAGAGAGCCCGTGTTTTGAGCATTACAAGGAGCACACACGATGCTCATTTTCTCTGATAGACATTGTCTGTATTAGGAAGGAATAATGGAATAACATGATTCCTTCCTATCAAGTGCGTGAAATGGCCTTTTCCAAAATAGGAAGGGACCATGAATTACCATTATTCTTTCTTATTTAGAATTAGTGCATACGCTACCCCAAATAAGAAGGCTAAATGCGAGTCATTGCCATGCTTCCTTCCTATTATTACGGAACGAAAAACTTCAAAGTACGGAGTAATTGATCTAGTTCAGTAAGATTTCCCACATGGCCAAACTGCATGGTGCCTGTTGTGAGTAGACTACGCACTGATTAAGAGTTTATCTGCTTCGTGCAGAGTCAGGCAAAATTAAGAAGCTAGCGCAGACTAGTGGTATAAAAGGATGCTTAGCCACCTCGTCCATCCACCCAGAATCCGCTTCTATTGCCCATCCAAAATATTCAAACCTAAGGTGATAATTGAAAGACATCGATGTGCGAGGTAATAGCTAACACTTAATTAGCAACATGTGCTGGCAAAGATTCAAAACTCCCGCCAAGTTTCCTGACTGTGTGGGTCCGAAAAAAGAGTGCATTCTGTTTGATCCCACCCACGACCATATTCAATGGTGTACGCCGGCCGAAAAAAGGGGTAGTATTTGCGACCCTGTCACCCCTACATCGCAAGCCAGTTCAACCAAGCGTGGCACGAACTGCCCGGCGCACAGAGGTTGAACGATATAAGAAGACAGAGGCTCCGGTGACTGTCCGTAGTCACCGCCCGTCGCGGAACCCGACAGTCACGTGCTCAGAATCTTGTATTTAATGATTTGAACCCCTTAAACAATCCAACTACCGTTCTTTCATTTGACGATGACTACTCCTTTCCTTGATTCCGAAGGGAATTCTATTCCCCAAGAGCATGTCCTAGGAAGCGGAAGCTCTGCATTAGTGTTACTCCAGGATGATGTTGCTGTCAAGATACCTTTGAAATGCCTTTGGAGCGATACGTATGAAGTCCAAACGAATACTCAGAAACTCAGGCACGAACAAGAAGCCTATCGCCGCTTACAAGGATTGCCTCATGACCAACGTTCCAGTGGAGTTGTTCGCTGTATTGGGATGTTAAGCGAGTCTACACAACTTGCTTATATGTCCAATGGTGATCTTAAGTCCTTTCTTACCAAATCACGACCATCTCCACAACTTCAGCTTTCATGGTGCTACGAAATAACTCGAACACTCACGTTCATCCATGAAAGGTGCATACTTGTCACTGATATTGCGAGTCGGAACTTCCTTCTTGATTCAGACCTATCGATCAAGTTTTGCGATTTCTCAGAAGCATCTATCCTTCCCTTAGGGTCTGATATGAAGACGGTAGATGATCGTGGCTTCAATACCCGGATTGATATCGGTTTACTTGGAACGGTTGTATATGAAATTATAACAGGTGAAGCGCTTCAAGTCGAGCTCTTTGAAGATTACTCTCTTACTGATGGTCGACCTTACTGGCCAAAGAGGGAATTATTACCTGAAACAACTGGTATATGGCTCGGAGAAATTATTGAAGGTTGTTGGAATGGAAGATTCCAGACTGCTCAGTGCGTGTTGGAAGCTTTGGATATCATACGCAGCCCTCGTATCAGTCAATCAAATGTCTATCAGCTCGGACAGGCTACCAGGGATTGGACCAATAATTCCATCAAACGTCATCCCTTCATGACTGTTATTGGTGTTGTTGGTTTGCTGCTTGTCCTTGGAAGGAAGGTAGCGTCACAATTCCAAACGGCTTAGTATTGTTTTGGATCTCTTTCCTTCTTTTGTTTTGTTAGCAAGAAATATCTGATCGTGTCATGGCTGAACTGGATAATGTCTCAAGGATGTGGAACATCTTGGACATGGAATACCCGCTACCCGAGCTGCCATCTACAGGGGTCAATCAAAGGCATTAAATTCAAGAACCTCTTTCTACTAGTATCCTTGAAATTTTTCCAAAGCGATCTTATCTGAGACCAACAGCTAGAATTATCTGAAGCCTGGAGGTGTTTCTTACTGTTTCATTGTATATAATGAGTTGCAATTCCCTCTTAGGAATAATTTTTTACGTGAAGGATAATCGAATTTTACTAAGTTGGGTATCATTGGTGTGGGTTCGGCTCTATATTCTATTTTCTATATCAATTTCTTATAAAAACAATTTATGGATGACATAACCTGCCATGCAAAGTCTCGGTGGAGCAAGTGGTCCTTGGCTGGAGAGAACTTTGCCCTCTTCCCTCTTCCATATTATTGTTGTATTCTGAATGTTTTCGCTACGGCTGTTCTGGTTTACTACCAAGTTAATTCAGCTGATTATACATACCTCTTTTATTTACTATAACATTTATATATTGGTGTTATTTCCGTTGATTTCCGTAGCAACAATCCAGGAGATATATATAAACTCAATAAGTGATCTGGCTCACTCCACTGATATTTTCAGCTTCCAAAGGCTCTACACCAAATTTTCTTATATAAGGGGTTTTTCTTGTGCGGTAATTATCATATTGCCCCTTTGATATCTAAGAACAGAACCCCAACTGAACGAGACACATTATACAGGCAGAGTTAAAAACTCCGAGCTATTCCCCATGCCTTTGCAAGCGCTTACCAACTGGGTTTCAGCTTGTTTTGGACTCACTGATGGTGAGATTCCAGATGATCTTAGAGATCCCGAGAGCCCGCCTGAATGTATTATTTGCAAAGCAAAGGTGAGGCAAAACGGTGCTTTTGATACGCGGGTAACTGATATTTCAGGCAGAAATCCCAGTTGAGAGTCAGAGGATGGAGCCGACCATACTCTAATAATCAGCCCTTACAAACAGACCTCATGATCAAGGCTTCAGATTGCGAATGTATCCGACAACTTACTTTGGAAGAGCTAAAAGAGCAGCCTGGGGGCAATAAAGCCTTGGAAGGCCATCCCAGCCTCGTCAATGGCGAAACAACAAGCGCACATCAAGGACGTGCAAGGAATTCCCCCTTGGCAACTTTTCCTCCTAAACTAGAGGATCTCGAAGGAAATTGGTTCAATCAACAACCTCCGAAAGTTACAAAACCTCCTTCTATACACCTCAAACCACCACAATTGGTCCCTCTAGCTACAAATCCCTCTGAGATTTCTCGGTTTTCTTGGTAGAGTTGATGTATATCACCTATAATGATACTTTACTTGAAATCTTCTATGTCGTGAAGGTACTGACTGTTTTTAGACAATAAATACACGAAGAGCAGATCCTTTGGAAAAACTTTTAAAAGGTCCCGATCAGCCCCAAGTATTCTACCATCTAGACTTAGAATTTGTTCAGTGTAACAACACACGAAGGCACTCCTTTCACTCCTTTCACAGCTTGAACATGATACCGAAGTATCCAATCGTTATTATATAACTATGTCTTTATTGGAGTTTGGCATAATTGGAGGACTGGTCTTTTGGTTTATTCTACTTTTATGTATTGCGCCTCTCAAGTACTCCTGGAAGGAAATCTGGATGGTATTAAGAGATTTTGTTAAGAACTAATTTCGGGCTTTGATATACGTATAGGAATGTTATGCTACGACACTTCGTGAGATTAAGTTTATAATAAGTTTAAGAGAAGAGTGAAGTTTTCAACCCGCTGAACTTACGAAAATAATCTTCTTCTTACTTGTGCTTAACAACGGTGTATTATGAATATACTTCCAATATCAAAGTAATCAATTTCCGATTGGCCTTGTTTAAAGCCCCTTCGGCTTCTGTAGCTCAAAACTTCAATGTTTGGCCAACAAGTCTACCGGAAATTTGCTCAAGTACCGGAGCATCAATCAAGCAAAAGAGTTCGAAACTAAAGATATCTGTCTAAAGGTTTGCCGTATTCTTTTAATAGCCTTTCCATAATATTTGAATTGAAAGGGGCCCAGATTACATGCTATTATCTCTGATTTAAAAGCCTTCAAAATTTACAATTTGCTTCGAATATGCCTGACATCGATAGTCTAAACTCCGATCACTTGGAGATGTATATCGAATGCTGGTGTATGTTCATATCACTCGGTTGAAATGAAGTTATTTATCTGATTTGATAGGGAATGAACGCGATATTGAAAAACTGAAAACGTCCTTTCATATCAACTACCAGTCTGTTCTGAATTATATTGACAGTGAGGAATCTCTTCAGGACCATAGCCTACAACCATTATTACAACGAATTGATCATATCTTTTATCCCACGCGAGAATACAAACGCCTTCAATTAGCAAAATGAGAGTTCCTGGTCAGTATCGTTTCTTTCAGGAAGAAACAGGCTCTGATATTCATGATACCTTTTAGGAGAAAAAGACATCATTTTATTGGGACGTGAAAAATTCACAGTTCCAGAAGATCTCATCGAAGCATGGGAGAAGAGATTTGACTGCAGGGATCTCGTCATCACCCTCAGTCAAATTCAGAATGCCCTGAGAATGGTTGACGCCATACAGGGTGTCTGTCCCGTGGAAGCCATACCAACAACACTCGGAGAGCAAATCAGTAATCCAGAATTTTTGGCCCATGAACTTGGAAAATTTATTCAAGTGGCTATCTTGATCGGCCGGGAAGTATCTGCAGAGATGTTTTTTCGTGGATCCCAGGCTGTATGGGATGGCGAGTCTCCCGTCAAGGTGACTTCAGTCTTAGGAAATGGATGGAGGGATAGAAGATATTTGATTTCTTTGCAATGTACCTATCTCGGTGATACGTTGACTGTGGTGAAGGAAGCCGGCGAGTTATTGAATTTGTTTTACAAAATCTGAGTTCTATCTTGAGATCCTTTGATCTATCACCGCGCTCTTTGTGATCAACCTTCGATTCTCACCTAAAGGGCCAATATTTGAGCGAACCACTTTGTAAGGATTCCTATATAAGTCATGGCCTGTCTTCAGATCGAAAAATTCGAAAATAGAATGATAACATTTGGTTTCAAAAAGCTAATCATTTCTGGAATACATCACCATTGCCACACAATGGTAGAAATTGATGGTCTGATGGCCCTTGTCAAAGACTGGTGTATGTCAGAGATTCTACAACAAAGTACTCGTTTTTAGCTAACTTTATTCTTCGAATAAGTTGCCGATCAGATTCATTTGGATTTCCAAGTCGAGTTCAATGATGTCGCTGAATACGCCGAGCAAGTTCTCCTTGAAGTCAAAGGGACAAGATTAAATGAAGAGCTATGTCAAACGCTCAATGCAAGCCTATTGGAAGCACCTGGAAGCGTGACCAGAAAGCTCCTCGAAAAATCCGAAGACCAAACTCAGTACTCCGTTGAAGTGGTTATCCAGCTTATTGTGAACGGACATTTGCCACCAGCCAAACTGTGCCATTCGATACTTAGCATATTATTGGGGAAGCAAGGAAATTGCCTCACGGATTATCTTCTGGAGTCTCAAGAATCGACAGCAATACTTGCTTTTAAGGAAAACCTGGGGCAGCTGCTAGAAAGAGCTTTTCTCGCACTTCATGGAAGTCCCACCGGGGAGTATTTCAATTGAGAGATTTCCGATAATAGCAATCAAGTTATAAATATTTTGTCTCTTTCAACACAATACAACTATATTAAGGACCGCAAATATAAACCAGAAGTGTCTTGTGGCGGCTTGGACGCGCTATCTGAATATATTGTATTGCATTGACTTGCTTCAAAGGTAACGGGTTCACAACTTTGGTAATCATTCACCAGCAGCCAAGATTCAAATCGACGACTGTGGGTCGTCTAGTCTGGCAGGGTTTAACAGACAAGAGATCAGTTCTAATCTTAATGGTCGCTCACTTGCCATATAAATCAAAATTACAACATCAAGAAGACCCGTCACCCATCTCGGTAACACCTGCTGTAAAGGGCGACTGGGTGCCGCATAGTTCTACAAGCAAATATCTAACAGAAGTTTCAATATATCTCGCCAATTCGCAAGCTGATAGGGTTATTTAATGATAAGTCTTGGTGGCAAACTTCGTTATAACCTTTCGACTTTGAAAATTTAACTTGATTTTGGACTAGAGATCTTGAAAGTATCAGCATTGAGGTTTACCTAACCGAAGAAATACATTAATCATCCACAATAAGCACAAGGACATAAGATCGGATGTTGTGGGGTAAAACTCTACATATTAATCGATGTTTCTAGTTAAGCATCGTTCAAATTGAGTATCTATATATGGATCCTTCTGAGTCCGACTAAATAAGATCTGCATTTTTTGCTCCCTATTGATTGAGATTGTCTATTAAGGCCTTGGAGCTTGAAAGTTATAAGGGGTTAGTCAAGTCTCGGCTAATATATCACTCTTGACCCAGTCTACATCTTGACTTTGGTGGTTGTGGGGATTAAGCTACACACCACTCGTCGTCAAAATGGTCACTCTGTTTGATAGCTTTTCGAGCTTAACTTCAAAACTTGTACTCTGTGAACCTCGTGCTTGCACCGACCCCCGATCCCAAGGTAAGTGATTATTAGTAGAGATACGGAATAAGAACAAAAGTAACCCATCGATATAGGCCTTGTGTCTGCGAATTTCGGCAATCAAATCTCTTCTAATTCGAATGAGAATGATGTTCGGATATGGGATGTGTGTCTTCTTCAGGCTTGTCAAAGGCTATTTGATCGCTCGAGTAACCAGTTTATTCTGGCAGAAGTTTATTTGTGCATGATGACTACTAGTGGCTTCGAAGCTATGCGCCGAGGTCATGGCCAAGTAACTCGGGATGCCCTCGTGTCGCGTTGGAGTACTATGGACTCGGCAGATGAAAGATGGCTAGTTACTTTCTTCGCGTTATCCCTCCATCAAACTATCCTGATTAACACATTGATTGATGGTTCTTGGCATCGGGTTTCAGCCTTTGTGGAATTGATCATTCCCTTTGGTAATGACCGCTGGATGTTGATGGTTGCTGTCCCAGAGAAACAGTATATGCGACTTTCAACCAGCGGACCAGCAATGCTGATTCTGGATTTTCTCTCGGATCTCAAAGACTCACTAATTACCTTGAATGGTTCCAAAACTACCTAGTGTACATAAGAAAAGGCAGTTCAAGTTTCCAGATAAAATATTGCTCCCAGCCTTTCCGGATTTTTCATTTTGTATATACTATCGCTACAGCTAAATTGATCGGCATTTTAGTCTCTTACTCTGTGAATATACATGCTTTAGTCTTACTTGATTGATTTTATTTTTGTAGCCATAGCCATGTATCTTGTACTCCACTTAAAAGTTCTACACGGAACAATCCAGAAGAGTGCCCTATATAGTGTTTATTGCCTACTTTTGATCCACTTCCAATTTATTAGGGAATACCCATGGGGATCCAACAAAAAAGAGAGAGGTAGTAGGAGAGAATAAATCGTTGCTAAAGGCATGGTCCATAGGAAGTGCCATAACAAAGGCCGCACCGAGAGACTCCGTATGGAGTTATCCTCGATGAAATTTGAGTGAACGGATAGGTCTTGCTTCCTATTGGTTCTCAAAATAACAAGCCTGAAAATTTACAAGCAGGGTTACAGCCCACTACTCAGAACTTAGTGCTCTCCAGCCCTTTCAAGAGACTGAATACAAAACAAGTGACTTCCCCCTAGTTTGTAGGGTATAAGATTCGATATCTCCTACAAGGATTCCCAACTAGATAATTGACTACATTCGATAAAATTATACGGTTGTCGTCTGAATTGGTGGTAGATTGTAATTTATCTATCCCACCTAATTTCTTGACGATACTAGACAGGAGTATCTACTCAGACATTCTTACAGACTATCGATCGGTAAGTCTTACCCTCGGCAAAGAAATTATACATGCTCGACAACTAAAGAAGAATTGAAAGTTTGGCATACTTGTAGTTTACCTTTCAAAGCCGCCAATTCCACCAGATAACTTGAAAATGCCTCCAAAAATGAGTGCCGAGAATCTGCAACCGTTCGAGCGGATCATCTCGTTCGACGGCATAGGCCCGCAACCTACCGATCGTATCCACGCGACCACTCAACAAAATGCCGAGGATATTGTTGATCAATTTATTTTGTCCGTCCTGAATGACGCATTGGAGCCAGCAGACTCACTTGACTACAATATCATAAGTCAACTCTACGGTAGACTATTAGTCGAAGACAGTACTCAGTCGCACATCGCGCTTCATACCCTCAGGACTTTGCAGTCCAGCAAAAAGGTCTCGCATGAAGGACGATTGGAAATTCGAAAGTTTTTTGAATTTTCATCGAAGATTCTAGCAAGAGAGTGGAATTTATACACAGACTTCCGTCACGCACTGGATTCTAAGGATAAAATTCCAATGCCGAGTCACCTGTCAGCACTGGATACAGCGTCTGAATTGATTCAGACATGCCCAGAGTGTTTTCTTTGGCTTCTCTCATTGAGAAGTATAGAAGCGAGTTACTTCAATCGTGCAGGACAGAGCTTCTTTCACATCGCGTTCCATGCGGGGAAATTGGATCTTGCTGGTGAACTGATAGTAAGGATGACACCCGAACAACTTATTCAACCATCCGCATTATTCGCTCATAATCCAACTGAGACTATTGTGCAAATGTCCGTTATGCAGCCAGAGCTGTTTACAGCTTGCTGGAATAAAATAGAAAGAGCACCAGCCCTCGATCGTGATCTATGCAGCGTCCTCAACTTGATGTACACTGACCGTATTCATATATGCCAATTTGCGAACCAAGAACTTGCAGAACGAATGCGGTTGCGCGGAATTGACTTGTCAAGCACCGTACATGATTTCCCGTTAACATCTTGGTGCAAAATGGCGGAGTATTATCTGGATCCTGTTTCCATTTTCTCCTGGCTCTTAAATTCAAATTGCTGGCCACCTTCAAGCGGGGTTGTATCGCAGTCCCCGCTCATGACAGCAGCTCATCACGACCGGTTACAAGCAACCCACTGGCTCTTGCACACTACATATGATGCGAGCGAGAGATGGGAATGCGCTATCAACACCGCCAATCGACAGACAGCCGGTAGTATCTTGATCTTTGAATGCGTCATCAGACGTATTACCTTACATCCTGCATTACATCCCCCCGATTGGCCCCAAAAGATCTACTCTGCAGTTATTCAAGGAGCCTGTGAATGGGCAAGAAATAATGATATAAAGCAAAAGTCTGCAGTCGAGCAGTTCGCCATCAAAAAGTTGAAATTCTTAAAGGTGTATGCTGGATACTCACTCATTTGTCACAAAAAAGACATGACGATTTTGGAAAATCTGAACTTGAAAGATATAACTAGTTTTGTTCATTGTCAGAATGAAATTGCAAGGGCTGAAATCAAAAACAATGAACTCTGGTAGCGTTGCTATCTTTCATCCAGCCGCGGGAATGCCTACTTGCTGTTTCATGAAGTCTTACCCCAGATGTGGTGTAAAACAATGCTAATAAGCTTACCCCTTGACATATCTCTCCCCCTCCCCTATGATCCACTCTGATATTTTCTTTCGGCTGGAAGAGGTGCTTTGTAAGTAATTTTAAAACTAAAAAAGGTTGCTGGTTGGTCTTTGGCCTCGCCAATTGCAAACTGATTGGGTTATTTGATGATGAGTCTTGTCGGCGAATTTTGTTATAACGTTTCGATTTTGAAATTTTAATTTGTTTTTCAACCAGAGACCTTGAAAGTATCAGCAATGAGGTATACCTGGCTAGAGAAATAGTAGCTCGAAGAGACGTTCGCTCGCACACAACAAGGTCATTCCGAATGACCTTGTTCTTACACAGACGGTGTCTTTATTGCTTGCAAAGAGTAATAACATGATTGATCTCATCACGACATTCTCGAATTTTTGGGGATATATGAACCAGAATATAGAGAAAACCCCAGATAAACTCGGACCAAGCAATTTCATTTACAATATCTCTGTCATAAGTGACACTGGCTTTCTCTTTCCCCTCCACCTCGAAACCTACACTCTGGGCTACCCAACTAATTTTACATTCTTTTAAATATATGTTGAAGTCCCCTGTGCATAAGCTTCTTTCCCTGATGATGACAAATATGATGGGCTGCCTAAAATATTTAAGAGCTATTGGCATGAATCGTAAGACGCCCATCTTTCTATCCACTTCTCTAAGCTGACTGAGCAGATCCCATAAAGGGACCTTCGGGAGTTGCTGGTCATTATTGAAGAGTTACCGGTGCAAAGTGTGAGGCTCCTATTCTTCTGTCCATTTCTCAAAGCTAATTGAGCGGATCTCTTGAAGCAACCTTTCAAAGGTCCTGGTCGGCCCCTGTCCCTCAACCAGACATAGAGTTGGGCCATATTAAGCGTGACAGAACGCGAACATACTCCCTTGGCAGTCTGAATACGATACCCAAGTACCCAATCGATATCTAGCTATGTCTTTGTTGGACACCGTCGCTCTAGAGTTTGGTTTAATGGGAGGACTGGTCTTTTGGCTTCTTTTACTTTTATGCATTGCGCCTTTAAAGTACTCTTGGAGGGGAATTTGGATGGGATGCAAGAGATTGTTTTATGAGCCAATCTCGGGCTTTTAGATATCAATGGCAGTATTATGTTACTGGAAATTCTACTAAGAGTACAAAGATAGGCTATGTTATTACATTCAGACCGTGATGATCTATAGCATTGGTCCACTGAGGTTGAATATAAAGCAGATTGTCAGTTTAGTTAGTCCCGGTCTCTGGTGAATGTTTTTAGTGTACTATCAGGCATTGGACGAAAATGGGCGGCAAAATATCAGGACCGAATCTTATTTACCCAAATAGGCGTCAATCGTCTGAGCCTGCCCAAGCAAAGATTGTACTTTACACGATAGATCTATCAAATTGACAGGTCGATTGCGTTATCGTGTTCACAGGCGTTCTGGCACTTCGATTTCAAAGCTCATGCTTTACCTAATCTAATTTACCTTGCTCTATATATTACTCTGCGCGATTCACTAAGACACTTAAGGCTTGGAATACGATTTACAAGCAGTATTATTACCCTATGCACGGTCGTCGTGCATATAGCAAGCACAGAAATACAAGACCCTGTCAGGGAGACAGTTTGTGTTTTCCTGGCAAATGAAGATCTTACACCCACAAAAGATTAGATGTTGTGAAGTAAGAGTGCATCAATCATGCCCGACGATTTAGACTTTCTAGAGAGTCAGTTGCCTTATATTTCTCAAATTATACTCGCAATATGCACAGCTACAGCCACTCAAGAAGGTCAAGATGCTAGATAAAGCGGATAAAAGAGAAGCACCAGCGCAAGTATAATATAAAGCAAGTGTCTTTTGTTGGTCGACCCTACAGTCAAAGTTACTTCATATTCCAGATATCAAGACGCCTCTTGTGATGCCACAATCTCTGGTCCTATGGAACGACCTTGCGTCTCTTATAAGCGCATGGTGTAAGTCTTGAGCACGACAATTAGAATATTTCAGCTAATCCAATTTGCCAACTAGACTCCAAGAGCGATACCCCGCGTGTTCTCGAGATCAATTTCGAAGATGTGTATGGATATATCTTGGCAGTCATATTGCGAGACCAAAAGGAGGCGTCGGCAGAGCAGCTAATCGAAAGGTTGCACAAAGCTATATCTTATGTGCCTACAAAATTGATCGACAGGATGATGCATGGAATCGATGATAATCAAGACCTGGAGTGCCTTTTGACGGTTGTGAAACTTATGGTGAATGGCCTTTTACCTCCTTCAGAACTATGCCCTTCCATCATAGCTATCTTCGAGCAAGAAGAAGGGAGATCACTCACCGGATGTATGATCGGATCCAACACAGTAGGAGCAAGAATCTTCGAAGCTAGCTTGAATATTACGAAATACCGTGGCGAGTTACACCAGATGGCCATTCTTATGGATCGAATCGAGAGGTTGCCCGCTGAGCTGATAAACTTGATCATTCAAATCGGACTTTTCTCAGACCCATTGGGCTCCCACGACCACCTTCATACATTTCGAGCATTGAGTCAGGGGAACCAGCATCCTCAGTTTCAGACCAGTATTGCTGCTGTTCTTGCAATGTCATCTACTCGTGAGAATATCTATCAATATTGGAAAGTCTATTATGATTTTGATCACGTTTCTGAACGCGCAAGCCTCGAAAACCAGGCAGATTTTGACTTACCCACGTGGCTAGCTCAAGATTGTAAAGCGTGCTTGGAATTTCTTCTTAGCTCCCAAGTCCTTCCTGTTTCATCCTACAATTCAAAAGAAAACAACTTACTTTGGCATTGCTGGAGAACAAAGAACATCAAGGCGGGAGCTCTTATAATATCCTCTATGAGTTCCAAGGAATTGTTCAATCTTGTTCGTATTTGGGGTGACCCATTTGAACCAAAAACAATCATTATGATATGTACTTGGCATCTAGATTGGTTCAAAACATGCTTGGGTGTCATAAAGTCGGACCAGGACGTCAGTCTGTCGTCGCTTGGCTCCGAAGGAATCTACAATATTTGCAAGTTTGCCGATATTCATATGGCAAACGAGTTGATGTGCAGCCGTGGTCTTGATCTGGGGAATCCTTTGGAGGGACATGAATTGCCTGGATGGGCATCACTGGTTTCAAATTCCAACGCAGTGGAAATGGGGAACTGGTTCATTTCACGTGGTCATCGTGCTCCTGCCAACCTAGTTACGAGGATAGCTATGAATTGGAGGAGCACTGAACTTGCTTATTGAGCTCTGCAAAACATTCACGATTATCAACAGTGGCGGGAAGGGGCATTGATCTTGACTTTGCAGCCCGAGTCAAGCACAGAGCTTCTGAGACGTGTTTTGGAGTATTTACGTTGTGATACTATAGATCCAGGGGAATTTGCTCAGGACCTCATCATAAATATTGTTAGAAGTTGCTGTGCTCAGCACCATAGGTACCCCGGCTCTTCTTTTCCGCGAAAAGTTGAAGTCGACGGTGGAATTTCCACGCTGGAAGAAGTCGCTATTGGAAAGATAAGAGTTGTTTGCAGTATGCAATTCCAAGTTGAAGTGGTAGGTATGAAAGTTCTGGCCCGGAAAGTCGGACTAACTCAGCTCACTAAAGCACTTGAGGAACTGGAGCCAGTGAATTGAATTGGGTGTTTCAAAGTTTGAGATCCATTCCTTCCGGAACATTGTCGAGTCATTCGGGCATCCTCAGAGTTCTTTGAGTAGGGCCGAGAAGATGGAGCTTTTTCTTTTGTCGGAACCAAGCTCTGGTTTGAGGCATTTTCTACTTCGAGATTTCCTTTATAACCCAATTACGCCACCACTGTCTACTTATACTTGATATAATCCAGTACCTATGGTTATTTTTCTATTTGGTGGTGTTGTTCTCTCTTCTGTCTTTGTTTTTACCCTGCCGCCATGAATCTCGCGCCTAACTACGGTCAAGCGAATAATATTCGTTATTTGAAGTGATTCCTTCCACAAATATGGGTTTTTGCTTTCCGCTCACCTGATATCCTTCTATAATTTTTCCCTTTTCCCGGGCCATCCAATTAAATTCCCTAGTATACTGGAGGGCTACAATATCTGCTTTTGGAATAGCTTCTAACAAACTCCTGGAGATAGGAGTATTTTGACATTTATTAGAGCACGACCTGGCTTAAAAGCCAGCTGGTCCTCCATGGATTGCATGTTCTAAGTCAAACCCTCGAATCTCAAGATACCCAGAGTCGTATCAAAAACTCAATTTATTCTATTGCAAGAAAATCATGGCTTGGTTTCTATTATATTCGACTCAGGACTCCTACACAAGGAATCTTCTCAGGCGCGCTTTGAACAGGGCTAAAGCACAGCTGGTATAGATCCTCAAACCTTATAGTCTTGAGATATGTTTTCACTTATCCAGTTACCATACACCAAAGACGTCAATATGAAACAGTGCAGATGCTCGATAGTCACGTCGATATTATGACAGAAATTCAAGTGGTAATCGAAAAGACTTCTTCATGGGTAGGGAATACAAATCATCAGGTCTCTACCCACATTACGTCAGGTAATTCAAGTAAATTAGATAGACACATGAGATGATAATACTACATTGACAGCTATGATTCAAAGACCCTCCGCCTACCACGGGGCTCACTATTGTAATGCCAGTAGAGCAGTAAAACCTAGGTTATTTAGCTCAGCCACTGAAATTACCTTATTTCTTCTATGTCATCTAGCAAGATATGGCACAAGTGTCTTCATTACTCATATCGACCCGGCCCATCTGGTTCACTCATTATATCAATCATTCTGAGATTTCCTCTCTTTATGCTTTCGCTCCAAAGTGATCATACCATTCTTTCACTATGTACGAGATAGCTGAAGACACCCCTCGTGCTTGGTATGGCTTTTGAACAGCCTTGGCGCTCTCTTCTGTCTTCGCATTCTGGCTTGTCAAAATACGGCCCATTGCGCGCAGTGTGCTTGATAACTCGGCCAGATATGATGATCGTTCTTTCATGAATACACCAGTATAGTGGGGTTGTGTTGATGCATCTGTACGATGATATCTCGTCAAGCTATGGTGCCTGGCGGGCAGGATTTTACAGACATTGCTTTGTCTAGGAGGGGTGCCATCGCTAGTACGAGGGACTAGAATATTAGCACCTACGCACGATAAGGGATATTTATAAAGAGCTGATTTCTGCACTCTTTTTCCTATTCACTGCATACTCGATCGATTGCTACAATGGAATCACATTCCATCTATATTACTTGCATCATTCTGTACTTGGCTGAAGTGATTTGTGTCCTTGACAAAGAGCCATTCAATGTCTATCGTTGCTCAAGGGTCTTCTTAGCCATGCTGTGGTCTTTTGGTTGGATCTTTAAGCTTCATATGTCAGGATTCGGCCCTTTCCGATTATACCTGGTCTCTTTTCTCGTCGATGCCCATCCATTCCTCCTAGGCTGGGATGACATGATCATAGTCTCCAGCCGACCTTTACCATGTGGATTAGCTGTATTCCTTTGCGCAAACCTATCATATATGGTAAAGCAATGGAATCACACGAAACGAAGACTATTTCCATTCGTCTCTCTTCTCTTCTCCCGAAGAAACGCCCAATTACAGGTCGCACTTGTGTTCTGCTCTCTGTTTACCCTAGGAAGAATTATTGCCCAAGTCGCGGTCACACTACAGGCCGGGCGCTTGATGCGAAACCCAACAGAGAGCCTAAAGAGGTGGGAACTATGGAAAATGTCTTAAATTTCTGTATTATGCTGCAAAGCATGTTAAAAACCTATATACAAACATCCTGGGTCGCCGAACTTCAATCTACCATGCTATTGTATATCCTGAACCGCGGCCAAAGATGGCACCTTCTACATGACAAGGCCGCGAAAGGGAACATGATACAGCAAGCCGGCTTTATTGGACATCTATCAGTCACCATTTTCTTCGAAACAATGCCAGCATTGATAAACCTGATTTTCAATTATATTGTCCTATACTACACGCTTGGCTCCTCAGCGTCTCTGTTCCTATTCGGAGGTATAATTTATATGGTATTGGACACCTCCATGAGCGACTTGCAGTTTGATTCTAAGCGTCAGCGCAAAGCACTAGAGAAGGATAGGGCTCAAGATCAAGCCCTCGAAAATTCTTCTCTTATCAAAACGTTCGGTGCTACATCATATTTTCATGGCCGCTTCTCTCAGGCCTTGCACAGAAGCTTTCAATGCGAAAACACTTCTATGTTTTGGTTCACATTCAAAAGATTTATCGTACAAGGGTTGGAGCGAAGTCTCTTCTTCATCATTCAGCAACGCGCCCCATTAGAAAATCTTCCACTTCAAATCAATTACTGGCCAATATTTATCAAATTCCTTATGGAGATTTGCAGATGTTTGACTTATATTGTTAATGGGGCTCGCAGAATTCGACGTCTTTTGGAGGATCATCAGGAAGAGATAACCAACGGTCTCCGTAACGGCTGGTCAAAGGACGACACCCAAGGTTTTATTTTCTGTGATAATGTCAGCGTCTCTCGTGATCAGAAAACGATTCTGAGAAACATCACTTTCAGGGCCCATCCAAGTGAGACCATTGCGATCGTAGGAGAATCCGGTTCTGGAAAGTCTACCATACTTGACCTTATTGTATGGCAATCTAGTGTTCAATCTGGAGGTGTCAAAATCGATGGCTTCAACATCAGTGGCCTAGAATCACCCGAACTCTTGACAGGAATCATCGCCTATGTCCCTGCGAATAAATTCCTCGTGGAGAACAGGTCAATTATGTTTAATTTGACTCTTGGAAAGGACTATGATATTCAGGATATACATCGTGCTTGTCGGTCTGCAATGATATATGGAGTAATAAATAATCTGGAAAAGGGGTTTGAAACTGTTGTACCCGAGGACGCAAATTTATCTGCTGGAGAGAGACAGCGAATTGCGCTTGCGCGGGCCTTGCTCACAGAACCGTATGTTCTTGTGCTGGATGAATTCACCAGCCTCATTGACGCAGAAACTGAGAAGAAAGTTTGCGGGGAGGTGAAAAGGCTTCAATGCACAACTCTGATTTCTACCAATCGAATCGCGACCGCAAAAGTAGCAGATCGAATCTTGGTTGTGGAACGTGGGAAATTGTTGAAGAGGGAACCCACAATGAGCTTGAGGAAATGAAAAGAGTCTATTGTGGATTTTGTCAAATAGATTCGAAAATTGCCACAGGCGATATAGGCAAGCCGGAGAGTTAGTTCTATAACAAATGTCAACAGCAACTTTTGCTAGACGCGTTAATTCACGTATCCATCCACAACTATTACTCCAGGATCTCGGGTTTACTGTCTATATTCTACTCTATATAGAGTGTCGTGGTGGTGTTGTGTGTGCTTCACATCGCCCTGTGCGGCTAGATGCATCTATCTTAGAGCGCTCCTCTTTAATCAACTATTCTACAACTTAGACCCTTAACAAATAGGGGAAGACTTCTTTTAGTAAACATTCCATTCAACAAGATTATAACTTTAAACTGCATGCTCGCTTTTGTCCCCTTTTCCACTATCAGCTCCGAGGATACAGTCCATCGCTTTCACTTCATTTGAAAGTTCAACGAGACGCGCCGCTCGTTCTTTTGCACACTGATCTATATAGTAGGGCTGTGCCGATGACGGTGCCTCTTGAAATCTTTTGATGCTGTGGAATGGCACTGGTGGAACTTGTCGAACATTGTTTTGGCTAAGAGGAGCCTGAGTGGAATCACTGGTACTAGGTGCCAAAATTAGCACATATAGTATTAACGAAACGCTGTTTAACTTACTTCAAGCGCCTTTGCGCCATTCTCAAATACCAAGATGTAATTAGATGAGATCTGGGTGCTATGGGAAATGCGCATGAGAGGGAAAGGGTAAGCTTTATATGAGCATCAGGCCTTGATGCCTGATCATATTCATAAATGAGGAGCTCATTTATAGCATATATCATGAGAAATTGATACTTACAATTACGGACCTGGCACCCTGAATGTAACCTTCGGGCTGGTACACTGCCTACCACATCTCGTCATCATAACTTGTTATATGTTATATAAAGTAACCATATATTCCGTCGTTCCCAGCGCTTTAAAAATTATCTACTACCAACGTTTTCTATATAATATTGATCTAAACCATGAACAGAAGATCAAAGGTTTGACATATCAGCTCCATAGCTTATATACTCTCAGGTGCTTATTACAACATATAGAGCCATCTTAATGATCATTTACGTGATTTGGCGAGAGTTGTATTGAAAGAGCTTTTGCTCTCGAGAATGGAAACTCTCGCTACAACTACGATTCCACCAAACTTCAGCAAGGATGCAAGAGCCATCCATGACACTGTTATATGTTTTAAGCGAAATGACGAAGATCTACTCATTATCGATAATTATGTGAAAAGCTGTTCAGAGCGCCTTGATGAGGCCACGATCCACAAATTAGTACACATTGCTTGGCAATTCACAATGCCTCTGCCATTCGAGCGGGTTGCCCCTGAGCAACTGAGTCTATTGCGAAATTTCCTTAACGAACCAAATGATAATATTCTCAACAAGGTTCGAGGTGAGTATCAACGAAGTACCGGGAAATATGATGAATATGTGTCTTTAGACTTTCTTCTGTATGATAGCTTTGGTGTATGGAGGTCTTGAGAATTCAAGGTGTGATCTTTGGGCACATCCCCAATATTATTTATTATTCAAAAGGAGGTTGGGCAATGGTTTCCAATGAAAATATTTGATATCATGCCGGCGCATAATGCTGACATATCGCTCTACAATCTTTGATTGATACATATATGAATATCAGTTCCGGAGTCTCCAACAATGATTTTCCGTCTGAATACTGGATCATTTACAATGATAATTCATTGTCGCTCCTTTTTTGGCTTATGGCTCACGGCTGTAGACCGAATTATATGAACTGGGTCTCACGCGACGTGTGACTTTGTGCAAATCTCTTGAAGTATCTCAAAGTCAACTACTAAAATTCGCTATTGAACATAGGGGACTGGAAGCAGGCTTGAATAATCATACGGTTATTAAAGGAGAGATAACAGGAATGACCATAGAACTTGAAACCTTTGCTTCAACTATTTGAGATGTCACCCCAGAAATCTGACAAATTGATTGCGGATCATCTTTATGTATTGCTTGGCTCCAAATTAAACTTGTAAAAGGCAGGTGTAGCTGAGCTGTCATCATTCAACAGCGGAGAACTGTCAATCTTTCGCTTGGCAGGGGCTTGCTCCTATACTTGAGGTGATTGAAGAAGCTTTAGCCCCTGGGCAGCCGTCATTCGCATATCTGGTTCAACTTGTATCATGGCTCGAGAGCATTTTGACAGAACATCTGGCGAGGTCAGGTTCGCCATATCTTTATTATCAAGATCAAGACAGCCATTATCGCGAGGTTTGATTCTTGACTCGATAATCCTTCCACGTATCAATTCCAATCCGATGATAGCGCAACTCCAATAATCGACCTCCTTTCCATGTAGTTCCCCGCACTGTTGCTCTGGTGCAAGATATCGACGGGTTCCAGTTCCATCAAACCTGATAGCTGCCTTATCAGATGCACAGCCGAAGTCTGTAAGCATAGAATCCGGAGGGTCATAGCTCCTCACTAGTATATTTGCTGGTTTCGCATCGCGATGCCAAATACGTTGATCGTGAAGAAAAGCAATCGCTTCCAGTAATTGCGTGAAAAGTGCTTCTCTCCCAGCGGCTTACACATTTGATCCATAGAGTGAATAGAATGCTGCATGAAGTAACGGCAATATGATAATATATTCATCTGGGAGATTCTGCGCTGTTGGTGTCCATGTTTCATCTAGGTACATCTTGATTTGGTCATATCTTCAAATTAGTGACATAGAAGGAGTTGATGTATTAAGACTGAACTGACAATCCCATTTTGAGATCGTCTCAGATCAAGATGGATAATTTCTTGGGGGCTGCATATTCGGTTCTATAGAGAGACAAGGGTATAAGCTTTCCACGTTCAAAGAATATCGATTGATGGAAGGAATTCGTAACTGACATGGGTAAACTTAGAAATCCTTCTGACCATTATTATCTCTTTATCCACGTTCTGCCTTTTTCTCTCACATTTCAAGATCCGTTTAGCTGCTGCTGGTCGTCCCGGCACAAGCGTGCATTGACTGGGGTGAATTGCTCAGAATGGAAACGCTCTTCCAATACAAGCTTATGTGTGATGTCAACCACAGCTGTCGCGAGATGGCAGAAATTCATGCAACAGGTGCGGAAGAACTCATTTTCGTGAGCTTGCTGATCACGCTGGCTCCCCTTCTCAGTGATTGGGTCTCGCGGGGTTGCTACGCTCTTTACTGTACTGAGGTGCGTCTTTGTCGTCTCTAATGCCATGGTCGTTCTCCCCGCCACAAAGATCCGATGGTCCAGTGGTGTAATCTCGGGAAGATCGTCCCAGGCGGAGACATGCGTAGCGCTTGAGGGGTGTGGTCTTGGTGTGTCTGGCGAGCGACTGTATACACTCGATGTATTAGACGAAGGGCGAGCCATCAGTGAAGCTAGAACAGAGGCTTCGATCCAGCGCTTTGGGGTCTTGTTTCGCAGCCGATCACGCTCGATGTCATGCTCAATCAGCAGAGAACAATGGAGCCTTGTGACAGCCAGTGCTACGGTATTATACTCAAGTATTGTGTCCTTAAACCGGAGAAATCAGTGATCGAGCGGGCCGCACTTCACAATAAGCCGCCAGAACTTGAGCATAGTCAAGCAGAGGTGACATTGAAGCCGCACGCAATTCGACGGGCCTCTTCAAAGTAGACCAATGGCCTGACGACACTCCTCCACCATGGCACTTCGCACGCGCAGCATAACGCCGAGGACCTTCATTCTGACTCACTTCTCTGAGGTCACCGTACCACTGCTGTGAACCATGGGCGAGCCAGCTCTTTCCCCTCCGATTGCAACTGCGCCAATTTTGTGATTCGACCCGCACTTTTTGTGAGTCAGGAATACTACACACCCAGATGGAATGAACGGTCGTGGTGCTGTCTGCCGCGACATGATTGGCGATCCGTTCGCCAGCATCGTCCAGCTCATGGATCAAGACCGGTGAAGACATTGCATCGACCGCCAGAACCGTCCTCGGTGAGAAACCTGCACTGCTGGTAGTTGCGAGAAAGCGTAGCTGAAGTCCATAAAAGCAGGCTCCTCCCCCGATCCATTTGTCTTTCTTCACACATCGCGGCCGCGGTGTGTCGCCTCTGACCTTCGGGCCTGAGGGTTCCGTGACGACGGCTGTTGCTGATCCAAGCCCAGTGACATAAGAACAGTGCTTCGCAGGGGGGCGCTGCGTTACCAAGTGAACTCCGCAGGGGGACGCTGTGATGACAATCGAGACCCGCAGGAGACCGCTGCGTCAACAAGTTCTCTGCAGGAGACCGCTGCATTACCAAGTTCTCCGCAGGAGACCGCTGCGTCAAATAAGTTCTCCGCAAGGAAAAATGCGTTACCAAGAGGATCTGCAGGGACATCTGCGAAACCAAGAGTCTCCGCAGGGACATCTGCGACACCAAGAGTCTCCGCAGGGACATCTGCGACACCAAGAGTCTCCGCAGGGACATCTGCGAAACCAAGAGTCTCCGCAGGAGACAGCTGCGAAATCAAGGCCCCCTAGCAATGTGCAAGCACCTCTGCGTGGTGCTAGGGACCAGTATTCATCTCCCATGGGAACTGAAGAAGCCAAGACTTGCACAGTAGATAGACTAAAGCATGAGCCATAGCAGCCACTGGGAATTGCAATCATCACATTATCAGTTCAGTCGCTTCAAAGCTCTCTCGTAGGCCATACCTAGAGTCGTATTTAGTAAAATCGCTTTACGCAATAGGTTCCGCGACATGCCCACTGTTGAGCCAATTCAAAGCGGTCGTCTCGAACTGCACGAGACATATGTCAAAAGTAGGCAGTTTGTCTGAATGATTCCCTCATTCGCGAACCCAATGCCAGGACCCCGTCCAGGCAGGATTTCCGTGACGCTGGCCAATAAGGTAACCTGACCCGTCAATGATCGTCCGGCCTTGAAGAGTGGAAAATGGTGCTGAGAGTGACTCTTGATGGGAATGATTCCTGATGGGAGTGATTCTTGATGGGTGAGTGTTGTCGGACCAGGGATGCGCTAAACCATTTAGGGGCCTTCGCCAGATGGTAACAGTCTGTCATTTCAATGAAGTACCCCTGAGTAATTTATCTATGGGGCTTACTAATGATAACTATCCGAAAGTATATAAGTTACACGTAATGACCGTAATTCTGCCACTTCAGTCCGACACATTAGTTTGCGATCCTCCGTATCTATAAGAAGTTTTAGTTACAACCTTCCTCCTTGTTGTCTGATTCTTTAGGCTTCACACAACCGCCGTTGGAACCATCAATGATCTGGTCGCCGAATATCACCGTAGGATCATATCATTGGGAAATTGGATGTTAAGCTGCTTCAATCAAAGCGATATTACAGCAACGGCCTTATCCCCCTCTAAGCCCAGCAAAAGAAGCTCTAAATCAACTTATTAAAGACTGTGAAATTTCTATGCATAACGGTATATTTTTGGTATACGAGAACGAGGGATTATGGGCGAAAAATAGCCTCTAGATACGAAAGCGGGGTCTTCTGAAAATATAATTCTCGAGTGATCACCGTTTAAGAGCAAAAGAAACAGAAAAACGTGTACTGTACAGGAATAGACTTGTTTGGAAGGCGATAATGGCTGTGATGTAGAAGGGCCGGCGAGCGGTAAAACGCCTCCGCGGAGAGCCCCGCGAAAGTGTACAAGGTGTAGAAACAAGGACACAAAATAGGTGGGTGACGTGAACAGTATGAATAGCTTCGTTTTTATCCAAAATGTATGATATTGCGTGCGATGTTGATATTTTGATATATGGCGGGTGACATACTCGCTTAGGTTAACTAAACCGGGGCGCATGCCTTGAAGAACAGACCATGCCGGGGGGCTAGTCTGCCCAATCCAGATTGATGCTGACATCGCTTGCATCAACACACTCAGTCATTCCTCTCTTCTTAAACTCTGAGCTGACAGCTTCATGAACCTTGCCGAGATAGGTCTTCTCTCCATGGACATCAATACCCAGAACCACACCTGTATGAATCATCTCATTGAAGCTCTCTCTCGCTAATTGGGATATCTCTTGGTCCGCACAGAAGGTGAGCTCTTTTAGACGAAATCTCCAGAAGACCCATCGAGATATACTAAAGCCAGACCTTTCAACATTTGCTTCGGCTGCCAGGCTTCCAGTCACGATTCGGGCTTCGTGCCCAGACGTCAAAGAAACAGACGAGCAAGGGTTGTGATTCTCTGCTGCCATAGTAAGAAGTTTGAAATTTGCATTCGCCAGCCACGCAAAACAAGCGGGGAGTAAATCGGCGACCGTGGACTTTCGCATTGAACCACTATCATATTGGTTTGTATCATGTCTTAGAGGTATTCTTTCTTCGAGCGTCATTTTCAGCAGCCATAGAGCAACGATACTCAATTCATTTTCAAATATCCCAGCCGCGTAAAGCTTGGCAGTGAATACAGCGAGGCTTTTACGCTCACATGAAGTGTATTGTTGCGATTTGGTAATCCATTCCTTCTGTAGGTCCAGTGCAAGAAACGGAAGATTGGTCCTTGATTGGTCATGGTGAGAAAGGGTAATATTCTGGGTTTGCCCCGCTTTAATCTCACTTCGGCGACTGAACACTCGAAGCGCCCCTATGGTAAGAATCAGGACAACCAGTTTATCCTGTTCTGGACTTATCGCGGGGGTAGCTTTTGAGGTTTGTATAAGAAAGTCCCACGTATCATGTAAGCCAGCTTCTAGCTGTGCGGAATTCCAGTGTTCTTGGTGGTAGTTTTCACCTAAACTCAGAATCATGTTTCGGATGTCGTCAAATTCCCCCCCCAGGCCATACTCTGTGCCGTGCTTGGGAGTTGTATATTGACCGGTACATTCGATATCAAAATGTTGTTCAGGCATTGTAAAAGAGGGCAATTTTAGGATGTTGGGAAGTGTGGGAGCGGAGGTAAAGTAACGAGGAAGAAAAAACAACAATTAAGCTGCCTGGAGCAATATGCGGAGTACAGACATCCGATATGGTCTACTGCACATTATTTCCGGTTTGTCCTCAATGCAGGTCTAGGGTAGCATATTGTGATCTTGGCATACAAGGGTATCAATCCCTCAATGATTTTGGTCTCATTTATCTATCATAGTATGTTCACAAAGGTATAAATATCAGCTGGTAGTTGGTGATTCCTAGGTTGGATCAGCTCCTCTTGATATCTTTCTGGCCATCAAATAAACAATGAAATTACAAACCGTTCTTCTCGTGGCACTCCTTGAACCAATGCTTTCACAAGCCTTTGCTCTCCCGGACAGTTCAGCCCAGAAATTTGACATCGCTAAGCTTGGAAATGAATATGACATCCATGATCTCAATGACTCCCCATTCTCTGATAAGAGGTCCCCGAACGACAATCTTTTGACCCTTGAGAAGAAAGATACCGAAGCGGTAAAGCACCACCTTTCGGCCTTTGTTCATGAGACCCAACTAATAAACCCCCAGCGATGCCTAGGATATTGCGGTCCTTATGGATGTCACTGCTCCCGACCTATACGTGTGTGTCCCTGTAATAAGGTCGGGCGTTCCTGCACTTGCCCGTGATAAAAGAGCAAAGTATATATTGATGCGATATTGGGGTGGTGTGATTTTTTATCGCCGCAATTCCTCGGGAAATTCAAGTAGCTCCAAAGTGGAGCAAATAGCCATCATAAGTGGGTCAATCAAATTTTGGA